TCATGGCTGCTCATTCATCTTCAGGTTTACAGAGGCCCTGGCCTGGTCCCTAACTTCTGGTCCATTGGTGGACTCCTTAGCTGACCTTCTGTGTATTAAATAGTTTGACTGAGGGGGCTGGAGTTGTGGCTCAGTGGTAGAGCACTCTCCTAGCATGTGCGAAGCCCTGGGTTCGATCCTCAGCACCACATACAAATAGAGGTATTGTGTGCAATTACAACTAAAAAATAAATAAATAAATAAAAATAGTTTGACTGAGGGAGCAACTGGGAATAAGAAAGACTCTTCTCCAGGAGAAAGTTCTCTCAGAGCCACAGAGCCCACTGGACCCAGCCTTTCCAAACTCCAAAAGGCTCTTGGCAGAGTGGGCAGGGACACTACTTAAGTAGGGCCACATAAGTCACATTCACATGGCTTCTGCTTCTTCTGCCTCCTGGGACACCTCTTGACCTTGTATATCACACAGAGCTTTCCCATCCTTATTGCCACCCAGGCCCCTACTAAACTAACCCTAGTCCTCCATTAAGGTTCCTGCCAGCCCACTGAGGTGGTGGGATAGGAACAAGGCTCTGACTTCCCAAGGGCAGTTCATTCTTCTTATCTATATGTGTGTCTGTGTGTGTGTTCATGTGCACACACAGATAAACAGAATGAACTGTCCTTGGGAAGTTCCACTTTTTTCTTCTTTTTGGCGGTACTGGCATTAAACCAAGGCTACTTTATCACTGAGCTACACCCCCAGCCCTTTTTATTTTATATTTTGAGACAGGGACTCACTAAAAGTTGTCAAGGCTAGCTTCAAATTTGCAATCCTGCTGGCATGATAACAGCTACTGTCTGTGAGAGCCATCCACATCAGTATAGCTCAGGAAAATACCCCTAGCTCCACCTCTGGATCCTGGGAAATTAGGCATAAGGCCCACAAAGCTTCTGGCCAAGTGCCACGTCAGGACAGCAGAACCCTAAGAGGTTTTTTGTCATGCTGGTTAGTCCCTCTGATTGGAGAGACAGCCAGCTTGGAAGGTGCCTAGGAGCCACAGGATGTCTCACTGTATAAAACTAAGGAAGACTGTAACTGTTACTGGTCCCAAGGCCAGGGAAATCTGCCATAGGACTGTCCATTTATATACCCAGCCTGCATATCATCTCTCTCTATCCCCCTAGCATGGGGGTAAGGGACCTTGAAATAAGGAAAAAGAGATTGATGGTGGGCCCCTTCAGTAAACTCCTAGGGACTCATAGGGGAAATAAAGAAAGGGAGGTCATGTGAGTTCAGAGAGCTCCCTCAGCCAATGTCCTCCTCAGGAGGGCTTGTGTGCTGGGCCTGTCTGCCTGGGCCTGAGCCTGGGAAGGGCTGGGGGAGGACATAGTCAAGGCTCCTTACCGTCTGGAAGAGGTTGGATAGAAATAGCTGTGCCCATCTGGGAGATGAGTCACTGAGGGGCGTTGCAGCCATTTCTCAAAGAGCTTCTATTTTAGGTGAGATGCCTGTGACACAACCTAGGTGATGGGGGTTGGGGGTGGGGGATTGCTGGGGAAAGAAAGTTTCTAGTGATAAGTCTGGGAGTTTTAGCACATACCTTTGTTCGGCCCTGTCCATGACCCAAGGGAGAGTCACCCCAAAGTCCCAAGACAAGGAGACTTACCTCCCAGGTCCCCCTTCCTTAGGAAGTCTTGCCTTATGTCATGCTGCAGCCCCCAGGTGCATTACAGAAATGAGACCTTGGGTGTGGCTGAGCACCCACTGCAGGAACTGAGTTTTTGGCTACTACCCTGGGCCAGAGGCTGAGGGAAAAAAACCCTCCCAGAGTTACTCTCAAGATAAGCAGAGGGACTAGGGATGTAGCTCAGTGGCAGAGTGCATACTTAGTATGCACAAGGCTGTGCACGTGTGTGCACTCATCCAAACACACACACACACACACACACACACACACAGATAAGCAGAGTGAACTGCACTTAGAAAGTCCCCTCCCTTTTTTTTAGTAGTGGGGATTGAACCTGAGGATACTTTACCTCTGAACTACACCCCCTAGCCCCCATTCTTTTTTAAATATATTTTTAGTTGTAGATGAACACAATAGTTTTATTTATTTTTATGTAGTGCTGAGGATTGAACCCAGTGCCTCACATGTGCAAGGCAAGTGCTCTACCACTGAGCTACAGCCCAAGTCCCTATCCCAGCTCTTTTAATTTTATATTTTGACTCAAAATCTTCCTAAAAATTGTCAAAGTTGACTTTAAACTTACAATCCTCCTGCCTCAGCCTTCCAAGTAGCTGGAATTATAGGCCTGATGGGAACTCGAACTTTTTTAAAAATTTATTTTTATTTTTAGTTGTTGATGGACATTTATTTTACTCATTTATTTATATGTGGTGCTGAGACTTGAACCCAGTGCCTCACACATGCCAGGCAAGTGCTGCACCACTGAGCCACAACCCCAGCCCAGGAACTCGAACTTTGATGGGAGCAATCCTTTCTTCATGCAGAATGAATTTTCTAGAGGGGTCTTTAGACTGGCTTCTGGGGACTGAAATGTTTTATCTGTGGCTTTCTCTGCCCCAACATAGTCAAAACATTCTTGAGTCCTAAAAAGCACATGGTGAGTTAGCAGTTACCAGCTGGAAGGTTGCTTCCCATCCCAATGTTCTTAGAGTTTCTAAAACCAGGCTTGGTCTTTGGGAGGCTCTGACAGTGCTTTCAGGTGCAACTTGTAGACCCCTGACTTGGCCTACATGAAGCCAAGTGGCCTTTAGGAGAGGTGGGACTGCAAAATGCCCAGTCGGGGGACCAAGAGCTGTCAGGGCTGTCAGGGTCAATCTATTCAGCAGCAACACTTGCTGGCCTGGTAGTCACAAGAGCATGTTATTAAGTCATCTCAGCCCTTGTTTTTCTCTACTTTGAGAACAAAATGAGAGAATGCCTGTGATCATGCTGTCTATGGTGCTTAACACTAGGGGATGTTCTCCAAAGTGCAGCTCTTAGGTGCTTCTTCTGGACTGTTGGGCAGAATGCCTGAGCCCAGACTCCCTACCTGGCAAGTCAACCCAGAGCAGCAGCAGCAGCAGCATAGCAGCCCTAGGGCCTAGTGGCAGAAAGCAGAGCTGGAGCACACCTGAGAGTAAACAGAAGGGGCCTTCTCTCCCAAAGACAGGACTGGATTTGTGTGTGTGTGGTGACTGCTACTAGGGCGCATTCAGATTCAGAACCTTTGGCTGCAACTACAGACAGGGGAACATCTTTGGCTTCCAGCTCCAGCTCATCAAGGCACCAAATCTGGTGGCTTTAGCCCTGTGGAAGCTGTGCTCCATATCATTAAATTGTCAGGCTTAATCCCACAAGTAAGCCTCTCTGGGATGAGCCCTGATCTGAAACACACACTATGTTCAGGCCTGAGAGCACCTGTCCACTCAAGCTCAAGGGCTGGTTTGGGGGATAGGAGATACCCAGTAAACAAATTAGTAGATAATTTAGGGAAAAAAGGAAGGACTGTGAAGAAAAAAGTTGGGTGATGTGACGGAGAATGCCTGGGGTGTATTCTAGATTGTGTGGCCATGGGAGGAAGTGAGAAGGAAGTAATGCATGATCTGAGACCTACACAGTGAGCTGAGCCAAAGGCTCAGAAATGAGCAGCTCCAAGGACTATTTGGCAAAGCAGGGGGCCAGTGGGTCTCCAAGGGGAAATGGAGAGAGAAAAGGCCAGAGAGAAGGAAAGGCTAGGGTGGCTAATGGGGCCATAGTAAAGAGATCCTGCAATATAATGAAAAACTGTTTAGAGGGGTATGCTCCGATTTACAAGTAGATTTGTTGGAGAGGGGGAAAAAAATAGTATTAACTCATGTAACTAAGTCCAAGTGTAGACTTAAGGGAAGTAAATAAAGTCATTAGATCAGCTCCTTTCTCCTTTTCTTGGCTTCACTCACTGTCTGTTGATTTAATTCTTAGTATCTCTCTTTACTTTGGGAGATAAAGTTGTGACCACTCCAAGTCTACATCTTCTGACTAGTAATACAAAAAGAAAAAAGCTCCTCTCCCTTGTTGTTTATTTACCACATTGGTGATATGGAAGGCTCTGATTGGTCCTGGTGGTAAATCACATGTCTTTGCTTATACTGGCTCATGGCAAAGGGAAACTACATGTTTAGCAACATGTGTTATTGTCTTGGAGGCAGAAATCATCCAATTTTCTTTAAAATTTTGTCTTTCTGGGGCTGGGAGTATAGCTTAGTTGTAGAGCACTTGCCTAGACCCTGAGTTCAATCCCCATCAAAACACACACACACACACACACACACACACACACACACACATTCATCTTCCTTAATAAAAACAAAAGTTTTATTTTATTTTTACTTAGTCACTTACTATCACATTACTTTTCTGTACTTATTCTACTCTCCAGATTTTTCATTATTTATCTATCTTCTCCAGGACAGGAACCATGGTTTCTTTCTAATCCCCTGTGCCTCCCTCTCTTACCTATCACTCTCCACTTACTCATTTTGCAAACTTTTATCAAATACCTATTGTGCACCAGGCACTGCCCTAGACCATGCCTTCCCTTCTAGTTTATATTTTAAAAGGTCACTCTGACCGCTGTAATGGAATGGCCAGAAAGAGAGTGACCCATTCAAAGCTACTGGGACCTCCCTCCCACAGGAGGATGGTGGTAGCCTGGATTGGTGAGTTGGGACTTAGAGATGGAATGCTGTACACACCAATCTGAGGTACAACTGCTGGGCAACAGGGAGGACTCTGGAGCAGAAGGGTGGCAGGCAGAGGGTTGATGGTTGATGGTAGGATGGGGAGGGTTGGACTACTTCTGCTCTGCCACTATGCCTGGCAGCAACTAAAGGGCAGGGACTGCCTCCGCCCTGTTCCCTGGCAGCCCAAACACACCTGAGTGCTCAGAACCAAGCAAATGGGGACTGCACAGAACTGGGCCATGAGCACCACTGATACTGATCACAATGCTGACTGTGCTGCTTCTCTTCTCAGGTGAAGGAGTGGCTCTGTCTGAACTGTCAGATGCAGAGGGCTCTGGGAATGGACATGACCACTGCACCTCGCTCCAAAAGCCAGCAGCAGCTACACTCTCCAGCGCTGTCTCCTGCCCATTCTCCAGCCAAACAGCCACTGGGAAAGCCAGAGCAAGAGAAATCTCGTGGCCCTGGGGGACCACAGCCTGGCCTCCACCAGGTTGAGACAGCCAGGGCCACCACAGCACCGGGGCCTGCCCAAGCAGCTTCCTCTTCAGAGGTGGGGAGGGTGTCTCCTCAGCCCCCTCTCCCCACCAAGCCTTCTATAGCTGAGCCCAGGCCATCTGCAGGAGAGGCTCTGGCCAAAAGTGCCACTACAGTGCCCTCTGGGCTTGGTGCTGGTGAGCAGACCCAGGAGGGCCTCACTGGGAAGCTCTTTGGGCTTGGTGCATCACTGCTGACCCAGGCAAGCACCCTCATGTCTGTGCAGCCTGAGGCTGACCCCCAGAGCCAGCCTTCTCCCAGTAAGGGACCACCCAAGATTGTTTTCAGTGATGCCAGCAAGGAGGCTGGCTCAAGACCCCCAGGCTCATGGCCTGGGCCTGGGCCAGCACCTGGAGCCAAAACTGAGCCTGGGGCTAGAGCAAGTCCTGGATCTGGGCCTGGAGCCCTGGTGAAAACTGGGGGAACAACCAGTCCAAAGCATGGCAGAGCAGAACATCAGGCAGCATCCAAAGCTACTGCCAAGCCAAAGACCACGCCGAAGGAAAAGGCCACCTGCCCACTGTGCCAAGCTGAGCTCAATGTGGGCAGCAAGGGCCCAGCCAACTACAACACCTGCACCACCTGCAAGCTCCAGGTGTGCAACCTGTGTGGCTTCAACCCAACGCCCCACCTTGTAGAGGTAAGAGATCTGAGTCAAGCATGCTCCCTTGAGCTTTGTTGAGGACAAAGTCCTAAGGCAATGGGGAACATGGGAACCAGAAGGAGTGTAAAGAGCTGAGTTTGCAGCAGTTATGGGACTGGCTCTAACAGCTAATGCTGAAGAGGGGCTATACTCCCTTTCCAGCCCCTGCCTCAGGCCTTAATACTTTTACTCAGTGAACTAACTGGATAGTGAATGAGGATAATGGTGCCTATTCCCTCTGACTGGCTGTCCAGTGCCCTGTGCTGGCCTTCCTATTTCCAGCTACCGTGAGCATTGCCTGATGAAAGAAGCCAATCTCCCCTGCTTAGGGGAACCTTTCCTTCCCAGAAAGAACCTGAGATCCCATCCTGCCCTTCATCTGTGACCCTCACAAGAGAAGGGGGTTGAAGGGCCATGGGATAGAGGATTATACTCTATGTCCAGGATTGGGCTGCAAGCTTTTTCATAATGAGGAAGACCATGTCCCACTGCCCAGGCTCCAGCTCAGCCAGCTCTTCTGAGGTCATGGGTGTGAATGTATACTTGTCAAAGCCATACTTTGATTCACATATTTTTCCCTGGCTGGGCCTGGGCTCTCCTAGGCCAGTATAGGATGCTTGTGAGGATGCTTACATTTCTTACCAAAGTTTGAACAAGAGCTGGCACTGGGGATAGTTTCTCTGCAGCATCTGCTGCAAGGAAGGGTACTTAGCACTGTGCAGACTAATTGGCCCAGTGTTAGGTTCAGTGTTGTTGGAAAGTTTGGAGTTCAGCCTGGACAGGTGCCCCTCAGATGGGCCATCCTAGGCCTGGAGGTTGCTTCTGTTCCTCCCCTAACCCCATTACCCACTCTTCTTTGCCTAGGCTGCCCATATGAACCTCACAATGGTTGCCTTTGGAATAGCTGGGTGTGTTCTCTTGAGGTTTATAATTGACTCATCTTGGCAGATGATGTGTGTCTTGAGAGGAGATTATTGAGTCAAAGCTCATGAATCCTGCAAAGTGGACAGCTACCTAAGCCCTGTGGGCTCTTGAACTGAGCCAGGCATGGCTGATGGTGGAACAGTGGGTAAGAGTACAAACAATCACTGGCCCAAAATGGGACAAGAAAAGAGAGCATGGTGTTGCCATGGTCTCTCTACTAACTTATTCCGATTTCCCTTGAGCTAGGCCTCCATGGGGCCCATGAAAGCTATCCAATATGACTAGGAAGACTACTTTGGCCTCCACAAACCTTATTTTCCAACATGTAGAAACAGCTAAGCCTGACCAAGATAAGTGACCTCTTCATGTGATGCCCACTTAGACCTCTGGCCCCATACTGCTGCCTCTCTGAGCTCTAGGTCCAGTGGCTCACTGGAAGACAGCTTGCCTGGCTGGTAGAGCAGGAAAGTGTTTACCTAGGGGCTTATCACAGAGTCAACAGAATCCCAGCTGACTGTTTTGCTCAGATACCTCCAACCACAAGCTCATTGCTGGTCAGGTATCCTGATGGGCTCCTGAGCTGGCCTGGCCTAGAAGATCCTTGTCCCCAAGAGACTTCTCAGTCCATTGTTTTCTCATTAAACAGGATGTGCACTGAGAGAAGGGAAAACTGCTTTTGTCCAGGAGTGTAAATTTCCTGGCAGCTCCTTTTGGCAGCCCCTGGGATAAGCCACTGGCAGTGCCGAATCAGTTGAAACAAAAGTATTTTAGTCACATGCTGACTCTAGATGATTCTGGATTATTCTGATCTAGGTTTCTCATTAGCTGCTTGCTTCTGGCCTTCTTGGCCCCAGAGCTTCTCTTCTCATTGGCCAGCACTGCCCCCAACCCCCTTCCAGGTTCCTGTTTCTCCATGTTCCTGCCCCATTTCTACCTCCTTGACCAGGATTGCCTCTGCAGGGTCTGGTGGGTACATGGACCTGAAAGCAAAACTGATTGATGTCTTTGTCCTTACTTCTCCCCAAGTCAAGTCCTCTGTTTTCCCTGCCTGCTGTTCCTAACATCCTGTCTTGGGAGTAAGGTGGTAGGGCCAGTGGGTTCTTCTTCAGTTCCTATGGGTTGGTGTACTATGGCTGTCTATCCCAACACCTTGCTTGGCCAAGGCCAGCCTGTCAGTCTCAGAGTGACTGTTCTGTGTCTCTGTGCACAGTGTGAAGCAAAGGGACAAGTATCTGCATATAGGCTGGGTGCTTGAAGGAGGGACAGACCAGGAGAGTCCCACTCACAGCTCCCCACATACCTAATAGATCTGCTGCGGCTCCACCTGTGATCAGAGCCAACCCTCAGGGCCAACAGTTTAGGAATTTTCCTTACCATCTCTGAGCTATAAAAATCTTTTTTCTTCTTTCTAGATAAGAAGTCCAGAGCATTAATAGAAGAGGCAGTAAAATTGGACCCCTTTTCCCTTTGAAATTTCCTCTGAAAAATACCATAGTGCTATTTAGTGACTCATTTCATAATTAAGAGTTGTTGATTCCAACATTTTAAAACCTATTTATCTTTTTGAAGGATAATAGTACCCTCTGGCTTAATTTTTAATTGATTTTCCATTCAAAATAGTTGTGTAGAGAAATTATAGGAATTAGAATTGTTACAGTAATGCTACTAGGTTGTTTTTTTTTTAATCTTATTATTGTTGCTGAAATTCCAGTAGCATCCTTGAGAAGCTGGGCCTATATGAGCAAAAGGTCTGGTATTTGTCCTGTGTGGGGCTGGGCTGGACTTAGGAGCTGAGGCTACAACAGGGACATCAGGCATGAGACCAGCATCTCCCTCTTCTCCTGGTCCACCTCAGGCTGCCTCTGGAGTGGTGATCTTAGGGGCCCTTTTCCCCTCCATGTGGAATGGGGGCAGTAATGTTCCTTTTAGGTTTCTATGAACAATTTAAAATGCTGTACCTCCAATGCTCACTCAAAGCCTGATATTAACAGCCCTTGAGCCAAGAGACTAGAACCAAAGTCTTCAGTCTCCATAGAGTCTCCATGAGGGGAATGAAAAGTTCCCACAAGCCCCTCATTATCTGTGTGGGAATGGATACTATGGCCAAGGCAAGCTCTTAGTCTCATAAGGGACACCACACAAGGAACTAGCACATTTAGTACTAAGGCATGAAGGAAACCCAGCCCAGCCACAAGAGCCCACACTGGGATTGCCAGGAAGGATTCCTCTTATGGAAGGCAGAGGATGAGAAAGGAAGAGCTTATGCATGTCCAGGAACAGGGAGAAAGACATGCACATATGTCCATGCCACAGAGTCAAGAGAGGAACAGCAACACTGGTGATGGCCATACCTGTGATCCATTGTCCAAGTCTTTACCTCTGAGCATTTTTTCTCTGGGGTTCTCATTCATTGCCCTCTGGTCTGGCAGTGGAGCTAAGGGTGTGCAGGGCCGTGCACCTTGGGAGTTATGGTGTCACCATAACCCGACTAGCACACAGACCAGATCCACAAATGAGGAGAGTGTGTGGACTATGGGCTCATTTGGATGATGGCAGACAGGGCAGCTCCCCACCCCTATCTCCCCACAAGGCCACACTAGTTAGTTATTCAAGAAGGTCTCACACACTTGTGGGATGCCCTACCAATTGTCTCAGTCAACTCACTTCTCCTTCTTTACCCTAAACAGTGATACTCTGAGCTACTGAGCTACATTTGATACATGCACACCTACATCTCCTCCCACCTTGAAATTATGATTGTCCTTGGGGGGTTTGTACCTTCCTATACCAGGATGGGCCGGAGAGAGGGCAGTAAGACAGAAGTTGTCATCAGAGCTTCCATTGTCCATCCTCTGCCCACTTGCCAAAGGGGCTAAGTAAAGAGGCAAACAAGTAGCTAATGCCCCAGGGCTGGGGCTGGATAGAGCTCTTTAAAGAATATGAAAATGTGTATAGTGAATGATTGAACAAATGAGGAAATTAACATTGAAATGAGGGAATTATTAAGTGAACAAGTGAGTAGAACAAAGGAATGAATGATCAGAGGTAGAGGTGGGGCTCATTGGGGTGGAAAGAGGTGATAATAGAGTGAATAAGGGAATTGAGACCTCAGCAACTATATTACATTCTCCAGGCACAGAGATTTGACTTGACCTGCTTCCACCCATCCCCAGTCCCCAGAAGACTTGGGCCTGTGTCAGATCTTCCCTGGCTCTACCCCTACTAGCCCCAATGCCTTGTATACTTCTCCCACTCCCAGAGGGCTGGGGAAGGGCCTCCAGCAGCCAGGTCAAGTGTTTATTTTTAGCCCTTACTTCACACATCTTCTCCTGCCAGCCCTGTCTTTCTCACTGCTTGCTATAGTAGAACCAGGAGCAAGAGAGCCAACCAGGCAGCCTTTCTGCAACCTGGCTGCCTCCAGGAATAAATCTGTGAAGGAGCAAAGCCCCAGAGAGCATGTGACCACAGGTGACAGGCTCTTCTGAGGGCAGCGCCCATGAGCTCGGGTAAGAAGGCCTCTGTAAGAGCTGCTCCTGAGCATTTGGCATTGGGTTTGTCTTCTCCATCCAGACCACCCTTCCAAGGTACCCTTGCTTTATTTAGACTATTGCTTCTGGAGTGGAGTCTGCAGGCCAGAGGTGGGGTACCGTGGGTTCTAAGCCACCAAGATGGGCCGGGGCAGATGATTTAATTGCGAGAGACCTAACCTAGATGGATGTAATCAGAGAACCAAGGTATAGTCAAGGCAGCATTGACTTGAGCCAGCCCTCTGTCTGGGCCAAGATTTTAACCCCATCATGCTTATTCAGAGGCTAGAGAAGCGGCTATTTTCTCATTTCCAGAACTCTCTTCCATCTCCCCAGGTCTTTTTGACCTCTCACAGTCCTCTCTGACATAGGATATTTCTATTATATTTCTAGGTTGATGATGGGGCACATGGACTTGGATTTTTAGATTAAGTTTTATGCTCTCCCATGCCCTAATGAATAAAGGAGCTTTGAGTGTAGAAGCTTGGTACTCCTTCCTTCCTGCTGCTGTTCATCCTAGGTACCTAGACATTCAGGCTCCATCAGCAGCTCTGCCACTAGGATGGGCCATTATGAGAACCACAGGCTTACAGAATCAGGGTACAGAGAAAGAAGGTAGCCCTTGGTCTTTGCTGCCCTAGGTAGGCCAAGACCCTCAGTATAGTTACCTCCCACACTGTCTCTGGTCCCTAGCCCATATGGCAGATCCTTGGAAGCTTGGTACCCATTTGTCCAGCACTTTCTTCAGACGCCTCAGATACCTGGCTGGGATGGACCTGCCAGACCTAATGAGCCTAAGACCCAGACAGTGGACAGCCTATATTAACTTACAGGGGTTTGTATGATGACACCTAAGAGCATCAGATTAGGTCTAAGGCAGTTGGACTGGTTCCAGGCTGGTCCCTATAGGGAGCAGGGTAAGTATATACATGTAGGCTTTCTGAAGTGTCCCCTATACTGCCCTATGCCTCTGCCAAAGACTCGTGCAGGGGTTGGACATCAGAGAAGAACAGAAGTTTTAGCCTCCAGGGAAGTAGTCTCCACCTGGAATAATAAGCCCAGTTTGGCCTCTGATGGGACCTAGGGCAAAGAAGTGAAATATAACTCTGTGAGCATCAAACCAGGGTAGATCATTGACATGGCATCTGCCATTGTGGCCTAATGAGGGTAGGCACTGTGGTGGGTACCAAGCTTCCAAGAATCTGCCACATGGGCTAGGGACCAGAGATAGTGTGGGAGGTGAGTGTACTGAGGCTCTTGGCCTGCCTAGGGCAGTAAAAGCCAAGGGCTACCTCCTTTCTCTGTACCCTGGTTCTGTGATTCTGTGGTTCTCATAATGGCCCATCTAGTGGCAGAGCTGCTGATGGAGCCTGAATGTCTAGGTACCCAGGATGAATAGCAGCAGGAAGGAAGGAGTCCCAACCTTCTACACTCAAAGGGAAAGAACAGACACAGGTGTCAGCAGGGCCCTGCTCTGTGTTACGCTATAACCCTCATTTCCCGCTACCACACATGGACCAGGGCAAGGACTCAAATACTGATCTTGGAGGAGGATCCTAGGGGAAATGTCCCTGTCAGCTTCAGATCTGCTACAAGAGTCACCTACTTAGGATCCAGGGAGTCCCAAATGCTGCCCCTGTACAGCCACTTGGGGCTGGAAGACTTATATTTGATTTATGGGGTTTTTTTTTGTTTGTTGGTTGGTTGATAGGTACTGGGGATTGAACTCAGGGGCATTCGACCACTGAGCCACATTCCCAGCCCTATTTTGTATTTTATTTAGAGACAGTGTCTCACTGAGTTGCTTAGTACCTCACCATTGCTGAGGCTGACTTTAAACTCATGATTCTCCTTTCTTAGTCTCCATAGCCGCTGGGATTATAGGCATGTACCACTGCGCCTGGCGGTTTATGGTATTCTAAGAGCTTTACCATTAATATCCATGTCATACTTATAATGATCTGTTGGAAGCTATGGTTTCCAAGAAGGCTACATGTCAGCCCTTGTCTTTCTGTCTTAATCATGACCATGGTATTCAGCCCTCAGTTCTAGTAGATGACCCTGACAGTCCAGAGCCCTGAAGGAAGGAGGAAGCCTCTGTTGAGATTCTTTGTTGGCCTTAGACAAGGTGACCTGGGTTGAGAGTATGAGCAGAAAGGACTGCTCAGCTCCATCCCAAACAGGACTTCTCATTGGGCATAGAAGTACAGTCCTATAATCCTATCTACTGGGGAGAGAGAGGCAGAATAATTACAAATTCAAGTCTAGCCTGGGCAATTTAGTGAAAGCCTGTCTCTAAATAGGAAATAAAAAGGGCTGAGGATATAACTCAGTGGTAGAGCACCCCTGGGTTCAATCCCCAGTACTAACAAAACAACAACAATAAAATCAAGGCTTCTCCCAGGAGTCTGTCCCCAGGAGTCTGCTGCTGCCTAATACAGCCTATACTTGAGGAAATGTTAGAGAATGGTGTCAGACATGAGACCTAAGAGGCCAGAAAAGGGCAGTATCTCCAGGATGCATTCATATCTGGATACTATTTTTGTTCTGCATGGACTCCTGACTGTTGAGCTCCAAATCAGCCCCCAAGGGTTAGTTTGCTCCCTAAGGTTGGAACCCCAGCCTTCCCTTATGCTTGGGATCAGATCCTTCAACTGCTTTTGGCCTCCCCTGTTGCGTTCCTCATGACTCAGGGTCACTCCAGGTGAACTGGGCTGCACGAAATAACCACACAAGAGACAGAGATACCTTTTTCTTTGGGGTCCTGTGATGGCTCCTCTGACCTTAAGGGTCCACAGAAAGGGGGGGGAGAGAAAGAGAGAGAGAGAGAGAGAATGTGCTGAACCCTTTTATTGAGGAGAAGCCATTCAAATGAGGCAAGGAGTCAGGTTTCAGGGAGTTGAGCTTCCTGATGTCTGCTGTCACCAGGTTGACTGACATCTAGGAAGGCCACACCCAAAGGCAGAGCAAGAGAAGGGGACACACAAAGGGCGTTTCCATGGAACATTCTATCCCAAACAGGGCAAAGGGGTAGTATTACAAAGGAATAGGTGAGTGTAGCTCAACCCCATGGGTGACACACCTACATCTGAAGTTGCACCCTCAACTTCCTGAACCGGGACAACGTCCAGACCACTACAAAATGTAGTGACTGGTCAAAGCCTCTCACTTCAGGATGGAAGGTGCGAATCATTCAGAGTGGCTCCCCATACTCCCCTGTTCCTTAGTTCTCCTCTTTTTCTGGTCCCATGAAAGTTCCCTATGGGTTAAGAAACGGACCCTTCTTTTTGGTTGGACATTTGGAATTTGATTTTGTATATGTTTATCTTACGGATGGGGATGTTTATCATCTGGGGCAATAAATCTATCAGTCTTTTCCTCCTTCGACCTTTAGTGTCATGCTTGGAAAGACTTTTTCTTCCCTAACTTTATAGAAATCACCATGGAAATATTCTTTGAGAACTTTAATGTCTGTGATTTTTTTCCAACCTCCTTCCTATTTCTTTGCAGAAAACCGAGTGGCTCTGTCTGAACTGCCAAACTAAGCGGCTAATGGAGGGCAGCCTGGGAGAGCAGACCCCCCTGCCGCTTCCCACTTCACAGCAGCCCTCTGCAGGAGCCCCTCACCGTGCTTCTGTAGCAGTCCCTATGAAGCAGAAAGGGCCACAGGGACTGAGCCAGCCATCAGGGCCCCTACCTGCCAAGGCCAGTCCCCCACTCACCAAGGCCAGCCCTCTGCCCACCAAGGCCAGTGCCCTGCCCACCAAGGCCAGTCCCCAGGCCAAGCCCCTCAAGGCTTCTGAACCCAGCAAAACCCCAAGCAGTGCCCCGGAAAAGAAGACAGGAGTCCCTGCTAAAGCTGAGCCTATGCCGAAGCCACCTCCAGAGACTACCCAAATCCCTGGAACTCCTAAACTAAAGAGTGGGGTGAAGAGGACTGAACCTGCCACTCCTGTCATCAAGGCTGTTTCAGAAGCCCCCAAGGGTGGAGAAGCAGAGGTCAGTCCTGTTTATTTCCCAGGGTCCCTAGCCTTCAGATGGGACAATCTGGGGAAGAACTTGCCTTCCTGGGGAGTTAAGGATATAGACCTGGGACAGGTCCCTAGGGGCTGCAGACAAGATTAGGGATGTCCCAGCAGAAGGAAAGCCTGGGTGAGGCTCCAGCAGGCCTGGAGATTTCAAGATTGAGACTAGTCCTATGGCACCCTGTTGAATGTTTTGCTGGATTTTGACACCCTTTTATCTAGTAAAGCTTTTATTTGAAGATCTAGGGCTGCTTTTTTTGAGCTCACCATGGAACATTTTCAAAGACTGATGTGGGTGGTGGGCTCTAAACCCTTGGGAGGTAGAGTGGCCTTTCCCCAGGGCCCTGGGATTGATAGGGAGTGTTGGGAATCAGTGCCTGCCTCTTACTGTGTTACAGGAACCAGTGGGCAAGCCTTACTCTCAGGACCTGTCTCGGAGCCCACAGAGCCTCAGCGACACAGGCTACTCCTCTGATGGCATCTCTAGCTCGCAGAGTGAGATCACAGGTGTTGTGCAGCAGGAAGTGGAGCAGCTAGATAGTGCAGGGGTGACTGGGCCACGCCCACCCAGCCCCTCAGAGCTCCACAAGGTGGGGAACAGCATGCGGCCTTTGTTGGAAGCCCAGACAGTGCCCCCCAGTAGTGAACAGAGCAAGCCACCCTCCAGCAGCACTGGTGAGGAGCAGAAGCGGAGGCCTCGCTCTTTGTCCATCCTGCCTGAGGCCTTTGACTCAGATGAAGAGCTAGAGGATATCTTGGAGGAAGAGGAAAACTCTTTGGAGTGGGGGCGCCAGAGGGAGCAGCGGGATGCAGCCGAGTCCTCAGATGACTTTGGCAGCCAGCTGAGACATGACTATGTGGAAGACAGCAGTGAGAGTGGCCTGTCCCCTCTTCCACCCCAGCCCCCAGCTCGGGCAGCAGAACTGACTGATGAGGAATTCATGCGACGGCAGATCCTAGAGATGAGTGCTGAGGAAGACAACCTGGAGGAGGATGACACTTCCACCTCTGGGCATAGCCTGGCCAAACATGGCACCCAGAAGATTGGTATCAGGCCCAGGCCTGAGCCTAGCCAAGAACCAGTAGCACTGCCTAAGAGGCGCCTGCCCCACAATGCCACCACAGGTTATGAGGAGCTGCTCTCTGAGGGAGGCCCAGCAGAGGCCACTGATGGCAATGGAGCCCTGCAGGGTGGGCTCCGCCGCTTCAAGACCATTGAGCTCAATAGCACAGGCAGCTATAGTCACGAACTAGACCTGGGCCAAGGTCCTGACCCCAGCCTGGACCGGGAGCCCGAGTTGGAGATGGAGAGCCTGACAGGCTCGCCTGAGGACCGCTCCCGTGGGGAGCACTCCTCTACACTGCCTGCTTCCACACCCAGCTACACATCAGGCACCTCTCCCACCTCTCTGTCTTCATTAGAAGAGGACAGTGACAGCAGCCCCAGCCGTCGGCAACGACTAGAAGAAGCTAAACAGCAGCGCAAGGCCCGGCACCGATCCCATGGGCCTCTGCTGCCTACCATTGAGGACTCCTCGGAGGAGGAGGAGCTTCGGGAAGAAGAGGAGCTGCTGCGTGAACAGGAGAAGATGCGTGAAGTAGAACAGCAGCGCATCCGGAGCACGGCCCGCAAGACACGGCGTGACAAGGAAGAGCTACGGGCCCAGCGACGGCGTGAGCGCTCCAAGACACCACCCAGTAACCTGTCACCCATCGAGGATGCATCCCCCACAGAGGAGCTGAGGCAGGCTGCTGAGATGGAAGAGCTACACCGCTCCTCCTGCTCTGAGTACTCACCCTCACCCTCACTGGACTCAGAGGCTGAGGCCCTGGATGGTGGCCCCACCCGGCTCTACAAGTCAGGCAGTGAGTACAACCTGCCCACCTTCATGTCCCTCTATTCACCAACTGAGCTGCCCTCAGGCAGTTCCACCACTCCCAGTTCTGGGCGACCCCTCAAGAGTGCTGAGGAGGCCTATGAAGAGATGATGAGAAAAGCAGAGCTTCTCCAGCGTCAACAGGGCCAGGTGGCAGGGGCCCGGGGCCCCGATGGGGGACCCCCTCAGCCCACAGGCCCTCGGGGCCAGGGCTCCTTTGAATACCAAGACACCCCAGACCATGACTATGGCAGGGCTGCTCAACCTGCCACAGAGGGCACTCCAGCCAGCCTGGGAGCAGCTGTATACGAGGAGATCCTTCAGACATCACAAAGCATAGTCCGCATGCGGCAGGCTTCCTCTCGGGACCTAGCCTTTACTGAGGACAAGAGGAAGGAGAAACAATTTTTGAATGCTGAGAGTGCATATATGGACCCAATGAAGCAAAACGAAGGCCCACTTACCCCTGGTACTAGTCCCACCCAGCTTGCTGCCCCTGTTTCCTTTTCCACCTCCACCTCCTCAGACGGCAGTGGGGGCCGAGTTATTCCTGATGTCCGTGTCACACAGCATTTTGCAAAGGAGCCTCAGGAACCCCTCAAGCTACACAGCTCTGCTGCCTCCCCCAGCTCGGCCTCTGAGGTAGGCATGTCCTTCTCCCAGGGCCCTGGGACCCCAGCCACCACAGCCATGGCTCCTTGTCCAGCCAGCCTGCCACGAGGGTATATGACTTCAGCCTCCCCAGCCAGTTCTGAGCGCAGTCCTTCACCATCTTCCACAGTCCACAGCTATGGACAGAGCCTAACCACTGCAAACTACGGGTCCCAAACTGAGGAGCTATCCCAGGCCCCCAGTGGCCCTGCTGCAGGTGAACGGACTACCAGAGAGAAGCCTCTGAGTGGTAGTGATATTGAGGCTGGCACTCCTCAACCTTCCCGGATATATTCCTATTTTGCAGGCTCTAGTCCGCCTCTCTCCCCATCTTCCCCCTCAGAGAGCCCCACATTCTTTCAAGGCAAGCTGGGTTCAAGGACCACAGCAGAGTTCTCTACACAAACACCAAGTCCAACCCCTGCTCCAGACATGCCACGGAGCCCTGGTGCCCCCACTTCTACCCCTATGGTAGCCCAGGGCACACAAACACCACACCGGCCCAGCACACCTCGCATGGTGTGGCAGCAGTCTTCTCAGGAGGCTCCCTTTATGGTCATCACACTGGCGTCAGATGCTTCCAGCCAGACCAGGATGGTACATGCCAGCGCCTCTACCTCCCCACTGTGCTCACCTACTGACACCCTACCCACCGCTCACAGCTACAGCCAGACAACACCTCCAAGTGTGTCTCAGCTGCCCCCAGAGCCACCTGGCTTCCCACGAGCACCCAGTGCTGGTGCAGATGGACCACTGGCACTATATGGCTGGGGTGCCCTTCCTGCTGAAAACATCTCCCTGTGCCGGATCTCCTCTGTCCCTGGAACATCTAGAGTTGAGCCAGGCCCCAGGCCCCCTGGCAGTGCAGTAGTGGATCTCCGCACAGCTGTCAAGCCCACACCTATCATTCTCACTGACCAGGGCATGGATTTGACCTCTCTTGCTATGGAAGCAAGGAAGTATGGCCTTGCCCTGGATCCAGTCCCAGGACGGCAGTCAACCACTGTGCAGCCTTTGGTTATCAATCTTAACTCCCAGGAGCAGACCCATGCCTTCCTGGGTACTGCCACTACCGTGAGCATCACCATGGCCTCATCTGTGCTCATGGCTCAGCAAAAGCAGCCTGTAGTATATGGAGACCCTTTCCAGAGCCGGCTGGACTTTGGTCAGGGTTCAGGTAGCCCTGTGTGCCTGGCCCAGGTCAAGCAAGTAGAGCAGGCTGTCCAGACAGCACCATACAGAGGTGGGCCCCGAGGAAGACCTAGAGAGGCCAAGTTTGCCAGATATAATCTGCCCAATCAGGTGGCACCTCTGGCCAGAAGGGACATTTTGATCACTCAGATGGGTACCACCCAGAGTATAAGCCTCAAGCCAGGCCCAGTGCCAGAGCCTGGAGCTGAATCCCACCGGGCAACTCCTGCAGAGCTACGATCACATGCTCTGCCAGGTTCCAGGAAGCCACACACATTGGTGGTGCAGATGGGAGAGGGCACAGCAGGTACTGTGACCACACTGCTCCCAGAAGAGCCAGCAGGTGCCCTGGACCTTACTGGGATGAGGCCTGAGAGCCAGCTAGCATGCTGTGACATGGTCTACAAGTTCCCCTTTGGCAGCAGCTGCACTGGCACCTTCCACCCTGCCCCCAGTGCACCTGAGAAGAGTGTGGCAGATGCTGCCCCTCCTGGCCAAAGTAGCAGCCCTTTCTATAGTCACCGGGACCTTGAGGCCCCTGAGCCCCCCACCTACCGGGCACAGGGAGTAGTGGGGCCTGGGCCCCATGAAGAGCAGAGGCCCTACCCACAGAGCCTCCCTGGCAGGCTATACTCTTCCATGTCCGACACCAATTTGGCTGAGGCTGGCCTCAACTACCATGCCAGGTTGGGACATCTCTTTCAGGGCCCCGGACGAGACACAGCTATGGACCTCAGCTCACTGAAGCACTCCTACAACCTGGGCTTTACAGATGGACGCTATATAGGCCAGGGCTTGCAGTATGGATCATTCACCGACCTCCGTCATCCCACAGAACTTTTGTCTCACCCACTTCCCATGCGGCGCTATAGCTCAGTATCAAATATTTACTCAGATCACAGGTATGGCCCACGGGGAGACACAGTTGGCTTTCAGGAGGCTAGTCTGGCTCAGTATAGTGCTACCACAGCCCGCGAGATCAGCCGCATGTGTGCTGCTCTCAACTCCATGGACCAATATGGCGGGCGGCATGGCAGTGGTGGCAGTGGCCCTGACCTTGTGCAGTACCAGCCCCAGCATGGGCATGGGCTCAGTGCTCCACAGGGTCTGTCTCCCCTCAGACCTGGCCTTCTTGGCAACCCTACCTTCCCAGAGGGCCATCCAAGCCCTGGGAATCTGGCCCAGTATGGGCCTACAGCAGGTCAGGGAACAGCAGTCAGACAGCTGATGCCATCCACAGCCACAGTGCGTGCAGCTGATGGCATGATCTACTCAACTATCAATACTCCAATTGCTGCAACCCTGCCTATCACCACCCAGCCTGCCTCTGTACTGCGGCCCATGGTACGTGGTGGCATGTACAGGCCTTATGCATCTGGTGGAGTCACAGCCGTGCCACTTACCAGCCTGACACGGGTGCCCATGATTGCCCCCAGGGTACCTCTTGGACCTACAGGACTGTACCGATATCCTGCACCAAGTAGATTCCCCATGGTTTCTAGTGTCCCACCTGCTGAGGGGCCTGTCTACCTGGGGAAACCTGCTGCTACCAAGGCCCCAGGGGCAGGGGGCCCACCAAAGCCAGAATTGCCAGCAGGGGCTGCACGGGAAGAACCTCTTTCCACAACTGCCCCTACTGCTGTCAAAGAGGCTGTAATAGCCCCAGCCTCTGCCCCACCACCTGGCCAGAAGCCACCAGGAGAATCTGCTACTGGGGGCAGCAGTGGGGTCCTCAGCCGCACTGTGCTTGAGAAAGAGGAAGCATCTCAGGAGGAGCGGCAACGGAAGCAACAGGAGCAGCTGCTACAGCTAGAGCGGGAACGGGTAGAGTTGGAGAAGCTGAGACAACTGCGGCTGCAAGAAGAGCTAGAACGGGAGAGGGTGGAGCTGCAGAGGCATCGTGAGGAAGAGCAGTTGCTAGTGCAGCGAGAATTGCAGGAGCTGCAGACCATTAAGCATCATGTACTGCAGCAGCAGCAAGAGGAACGCCAAGCTCAGTTTGCACTGCAGCGAGAGCAGCTGGCTCAGCAGCGTCTGCAGCTAGAACAGATCCAGCAGCTCCAGCAACAGCTCCAGCAGCAATTAGAGGAACAGAAGCAGAGGCAGAAGGCCCCCTTCCCTGTAGCCTGTGAGGCACCCAGCCGAGGGCCTTCCACTGGTACCACTGAACTGGCCCAGAATGGCCAGTACTGGCCACCCCTAACCCACACAGCCTTCATTGCCGTAGGAGGGCCAGAGGGGCCTGGGCAGCCTCGTGAACCTGTGCTGCACCGGGGTCTTGCCAGCTCTGCCTCAGACATGTCACTGCAGACTGAGGAACAGTGGGAGGCAGCCCGCAGTGGCATCAAGAAGCGGCACTCCATGCCACGCCTGAGGGATATCTGTGAACCAGAGTCAGGGCCCGAACCCTGTGTGGTCAGGAGGATTGCAGACAGCAGTGTTCAGACAGATGATGAGGACGGGGAGGGCCGCTACCTCCTGACCCGGCGGCGCCGACCTCGGCGGAGTGCTGACTGCAGTGTGCAGACGGATGATGAGGACAATGCCGAGTGGGAGCAGCCAGTACGTCGCCGTAGGTCCCGTCTTTCCCGTCATTCAGACTCAGGCTCTGACAGCAAGCATGATGCCACTGCTGTATCATCCACTGCTGCCACCACTGCAAGGGCCATGAGCAGTGTGGGCATCCAGACCATCAGTGACTGCTCTGTGCAGACAGAGCCTGACCAGCTGCCCAGGGTCTCTCCTGCGATCCACATCACAGCTGTCACCGACCCCAAGGTGGAGATCATCAGGTACATATCGGCACCAGAGAAGACTGGGCGTGGAGAGAGCCTGGCCTGCCAGACAGAACCAGATGGGCAGGCCCAGAGTGTTCCTGGACCACAGCTTGTAGGCCCAACTGCCATCAGCCCCTATCTGCCTGGCATCCAGATTGTCACCCCAGGACCCCTGGGCAGATTTGAAAAAAAGAAACCGGATCCTCTGGAGATTGGGTACCAGGCCCACCTGCCCCCAGAGTCTCTCTCACAGCTTGTGAGCCGCCAGCCTCCTAAGTCCCCCCAGGTCCTCTACTCACCAGTCTCACCCCTGTCCCCACACCGGCTCCTGGATACCTCCTTTGCTTCCAGTGAAAGGCTGAACAAGGCTCATGTGAGTCCCCAGAAGCACTTCACAGCTGACAGCACTCTCCGCCAGCAGACGCTGCCTCGCCCCATGAAGACCCTGCAGCGGTCCTTGTCTGACCCTAAGCCCCTCAGCCCTACCGCCGAGGAGTCTTCCAAAGAGAGATTCTCCCTCTACCAGCACCAGGGGGTTCTGGGTAGCCAGGTATGGGCACAGGGGCTGGTCCAGGGTGGGACAGGGGTTTCTGCCTAGCCCGAGGGGCCCCCCCAGAGGGAGGGGTTTCTTCTGGGGTGGGAATGGAGTCACCTGTAGCTCCAGAGGCCCATGGGAAGGAGATGAGGAATAGATTCTTCAGTGTGCATCAGTAGAGCCCACAGTCCAGCAAGGGCAGCCCAGGAAAATACAGACACACTTGGGCCCTCAGCTTTTCATCAAGATACCCCACTAGAAATCTCAGCCTCTCCATAGCACTATCCCTAGTCCATATCTAGTCCATCCCTGCCACTTCTCCCTTCAGGCCTCTTCAGCTCTCATCTCCAATTTGAGCACCTTTCCCTCTAAACCTCATTTATGGCTGTTTCCTGAGAAATCAGTAATAGCTCTGACTGGGCTACTTCCTACTTCCTGCCCTGGCCAGGCTTTCATTGCTCCAAGGCAAGCCAAGCCCCATGTTCTAGCACCCAAAGCCATCCCAGAGGGCTGCAGTATACTCTCTGACTCATCATGTTCCCTGCCCCACCTGTCCCTCAGTAACTCTGCTTACACACTTATTTGCTCTAGATAGAGACTTCTTATCTGTGGCTTAAGTTTCCAATGATATACTGGGAAAAGAAATGACCTGGCCATGGGCTGCAGTAGTAGGGAGGATGGGGTTTATGAGGGCCTATTGCCAAGAACTTTGAATGCTAGGCTAAGGAGAATGGGCTTTTCCTAAAGGCCCTGGAAGCCTCTTGAAGTTTTAGGAAGGTGAGATAGCACAAGATGGGTATGTAGAGTTTCTTGGGCACAATGTGAGCTTATAGACTGAAGAAAGAGTCCCTGGGGAGAGGAGGTAATAGCCAGAGGCATTATAGAATATATTTACTTTTCTGGGTGTATTGCAGAGAGGATAAAAGATGAGCCTTGGAGTGGAATTGTGGAGGTGATGGTTGTTGGGGTGGGCAGTGAAGAGCCCTGGTATGTGGGGACACTGGTGTGTGTGGACCCTGTTTTGTGCAGGCCCTGGTGTATTCAGACCTTGGTATATACAGGTCCTGATGTGTGCAAGCAGGTGAGGGAATAGGATCAGGAGTCTGTGCTGCCAAGGAGGGCAGGTCAGAGCAGCAGGGTAGACCTGGCTCCAGATACACAGGTCCCATGGCCTGGTCATATGGGGCCAGGCTTTGATGGGCATTCATGGTATGTGGCCAAAATAACAAAAGACAGATAACAGAGTGACGAGTTCAAAGAGCTAAACTTATTCCACTACAGGCCCACCTTTATTCTGAGATTTGGGGCATGCTATCTTTTTCTTTATGACATATGGTAAAAGCAGGTGGGAAGCTTTTTTGTACTCACTTGGCAAGGTAAAAAGTCAGAATCATGGACTGGAGATGCAGCTCAGTGGTAGAACACTTGCCTAGCATGTACCAGGCCCTGAGTGTATTCTCTGCACCTCCAAAAGAAAAAAGTAAGACTCCTGATACAATCCCCAATATATTTTGGGGATTTGGGTGGTCCATGAATCCCAAAATCCACCAGAGATGTGCAAGTGCTCCCACCCTTACGTGGCCTTGGTGAGCATTGTGATTACCTTTCCAGACAGTGAGCTCAACCAGCTACGGCTCCCAGGAAGGCAAAAGCTAAAGGTAAAGGGTCTTCAGGCAGTGCAGAGAACACTGCCAAGGGACCTTGAGCAGAAAACCACTCTGCTAGAGAAAGTGCTGGAGAGAACCCAGAACTTCTCTGGTGGCCCAAGAGAGCAGCAGGCTGACAGAGGGATATGGAGGCCAAGAGCACAACCCAGAGGATTTGGCAGAGGGTTGTAAAGAACAACTAGAGGAGGAGGATGGGCAGGCACCTGAGTAGCATGCCACTTTAGAGAAGAGTGAGGCAGGAAGCAGCAAAAGACAGAGCCTGCAACAACTTAAATACAATCAGCATATGCCCCTTCCCATAATGCCTAGGATTCACTCTGTTGCACTCTTCCTGTCTATGTCCTCTACTGCCCTCAGCCCCTTACAGCTGCTAGGTCCCAAACCCAGAGCCACCTCAGTGGAAGGCAAATTTACCAGGGATGTGCAAGTGCCTCAAAGCCACTGTGTGTGAAAACCAGCACAGAAGGCAATCTTCCTCTCCCTGCCCACCTGCTGCCCAGAGCTCTAGGAAGAAGGACTGTAAAATGATCACAGGCTTTCCCTCCATGGCAAAGAAACTAAGACCAGTGGGGTGGGCAGGGTAGGCCTCAAGGCATCAACAGCCCAAGCCAAAGTTTTTCTACCCCATACCCCACCAAGTCACCCACACTTTGGGTCTCAGTGCTGCCCACCCTTCCCTCTGTCTCAGGTGTCGGCGCTGCCACCCAACGGCCTGGTCCGCAAGGTGAAGCGGACACTGCCCAGCCCCCCTCCAGAGGAGGCTCACCTTCCCCTGGCTGGCCAGGCCCCCCCACAGCTGTATGCAGCCAGCCTGCTGCAGCGAGGGCTGACGGGGCCCACCACCATCCCTGCTACCAAGGCCAGCCTGCTCCGGGAACTGGACCGGGACCTGCGGCTGGTGGAACATGAGTCCACCAAGCTGCGCAAGAAGCAGGCGGAGCTGGACGAGGAGGAGAAGGAGATTGATGCCAAGCTCAAGTACCTAGAGCTGGGCATCACACAGCGCAAAGAGTCATTGGCCAAAGACCGGGGTGGCCGTGACTACCCACCCTTACGTGGCCTTGGTGAGCATCGTGATTACCTTTCAGACAGTGAGCTCAACCAGCTACGGCTTCCAAGCTCCACCATTCCCGCTGGCCAGTATGTGGACTTCCCTGCCACTGCTGCTGTGCCACCCACCCCCTCTGGCCCCGCTGCCTTCCAGCAGCCCCGGTTCCCACCTCCGGCCCCTCAGTATACTCCAGGAAGTAGTGGGCCAACTCAGAATGGATTCCCAGCCCACCAGACACCCATCTACCCTGTCCCTAGCACATACCCAGCACCTACCTTTCCTCCTAGCACCAGTTACCCAGCGGAGCCTGGCCTGCCAAATCAGCAGGCTTTCCGTCCCACAAGCCACTATGCAGCCCAAATACCCATGCCAACCACACAGAGCACCCCTTTTCCAGTCCCTACTGATAGTCGGGCCCCACTCCAGAAGCCTCGCCAGACATCACTAGCTGACTTGGAGCAAAAGGTACCCACTAACTATGAGGTGATCACCAGCCCTGTTGTGGCCATGTCTTCAGCCCCCTCTGAAACCAGCTACAGTGGCTCAACTGTGAACAGCAGCTATGAGCAAGGCAAGGTCACTGAGCTGTCCCGGACCAGTGACCGTAGCAGTGTGAGCCAGAGCCCAGCCCCCACCTACCCCCCTGACTCACACTATACCAGTCTGGAGCAGAATGTTCCTCGGAACTATGTGATGATTGATGATATCAGTGAGCTGACCAAGGACAGCACCCCTACTGTCCCTGATAGCCAGCGACTGGAGCCCTTGGGGCCAGGCAGCAGTGGGAGACCTGGGAAGGAGCCTGGAGAACCAGGTGTCCTTGAGGGGCCTACACTGCCCTGCTGCTATGCCAGAGGGGAAGAGGAATCTGAGGAGGACTCGTATGACACCCGTGGGAAGGTTGGTCATCACCGGAGCATGGAGAACAATGGACGACCAGCCAGTACCCACTACTACAGCGACAGCGACTATAGACATGGAGCTCGAGCAGAGAAGTATGGTCCAGGGCCTGTGGGACCCAAGCATCCCTCCAAGAGCCTGGCCCCAGCTGCCATCCCCTCAAAGCGCAGCAAACACCGGAAGCAGGGCATGGAGCAAAAGATCTCTAAGTTCTCACCTATTGAAGAGGCCAAGGATGTGGAGTCTGACCTGGCCTCCTATCCACCATCTGCTGTTAGCAGCAGCCTCGCCTCTCGGGGCAGGAAGTTCCAGGATGAAATCACCTATGGGCTCAAGAAGAATGTGTATGAGCAGCAGAGGTACTATGGGGTGTCCAGTCGGGATACAGCAGAGGAGGATGACCGCATGTATGGTGGGAGCAGCCGGTCCAGGGTGGCATCTGCATACAGTGGGGAGAAGCTTTCCAGCCATGATTTCAGTGGCCGAAGCAAGGGGTATGAACGGGAACGGGAGGCTGTGGAGCGACTTCAAAAAGCGGGCCCCAAGCCTTCATCCCTGAGCATGGCCCACAGCCGGGCACGGCCCCCCATGAGGAGCCAGACCTCTGAAGAGGAGAGTCCCGTCAGTCCCTTAGGGCGGCCCCGCCCTGCTGGGGGCACCCTCCCTCCTGGGGATACCTGCCCACAGTTCTGCTCCAGCCACTCCATGCCTGATGTCCAGGAACATGTCAAGGATGGACCACGGGCCCATGCATATAAGCGTGAGGAGGGCTACATCCTGGATGATTCCCACTGCGTGGTTTCTGACAGTGAAGGTAATGGCAGCTGGGGGTGATTTCAGCAGTTGCTCAGCACCTGGGGGGCCTGCCTGCCTGTGAGGCCCTGGGACCCAAGATGTCCCATCAGGTCTGGCATCTTATCCAGTGGGCCCTGCTGCAGGCTGACCTTGCCTGTTCCACCTGCACCTTACTTCCTGGTTGTGGGAGGGTGGGCTGGGGACCTAGTGATCGCTTGTGGCTGTGGTGCCCACTCTGGTGTCTTTGCATGGCTTCCGCTAGGCCTCCCCTGCAGACATCTTGGGGGTTGATGGTGTTCTGTTTTTGGTCTCTGAAGCGTATCACCTGGGCCAGGAGGAGACGGACTGGTTTGATAAGCCCCGGGATGCCCGCTCCGACCGGTTCAGGCACCATGGGGGCCATGCAGTCTCCTCCACCCAGAAGCGAAGCTCTGCCAGGCACAGCTACCACGACTACGATGAACCCCCCGAGGAGGGCCTGTGGCCTCATGATGAGGGTGGCCCAGGTCGCCATGCCTCAGCCAAGGAACACCGGCACCACAGCGAGCATGGGAGGCACTCAGGCCGTCATGCTGGTGAGGAACAGGGACGGCGTGCTGCCAAACCACATGTTCGGGACATGGGTCGTCATGAGGCCCGGCCCCACCCTCAGCCCAGCCCTGCCCCAGCCATGCCGAAGAAGGGTCAGCCTGGATATCCTGGCTCTGCTGAATACTCACAGCCATCCCGTGCTCCATCAGCATACCATCATGCCTCTGACAGCAAGAAGGGCTCCCGGCAGGCCCACTCTGGGCCTGCTGCACAGCAGCCAAAGCCAGAATCCCAGGCACAACCACAAGGTCGGCAGGTAGCTCCAGGGCCACAGCAGTCACAGCCACCAGCATCCAGACAGACACCCTCTGGGGCAGCATCACGCCAGCCACAGACACAGCAGCAGCAAGGTCTTGGACAGCAGCCTCCCCAGCAGGCCCCATCACAGACTCGGCTGCAGCAGCAGAGCCAGCCAGTCACCCGGGGCCCAGCCTCTGCTTCTAGCCAGCCAACAGGAAAGCCTCAGCCAAGCTCCATGACAGCCCCAGCCCCCCAACCAGGAGGACTGGTAAGTAGGGTCCTGTGCATGGGTCCCACCCAAGGTAGATGCAACAGCTGAAGCTTTAACATCTCCTTGATTCCAGACTGGGTGTGGGCAGTGTCGATGGGCAGGAGCTCAGCTTTAAGTTCTGTGTTGCAGCCACGGGCAGAACAGACAAATGGCTCTAAAGTGACAGCCAAAGCACCCCAACCAGGGAGGGCTCCTCAGGCCCAGCCAACACCGGGACCTGGACCTACAGGTGAGGCTACACCAAGCACTGTTTTCTCCCTATACTCACCTGCACCTTAAGCTTCCCTCACTGCATGGCCTCATTAATCCACAAGAAGTTGCCCAGTGTGTTGCAGACCTCCCAGCAGAAAATGAACCTGGGTTGGAGCCAATGAGGTCCTCCACACTGGGGCCTTAAGGCCCTTGCTGCCTTGGGCAAAGAACCTAGAAGGCACTGGTGAACACAGGACCAAACCATGGCTTCTTACTTTCTCCTTTCCCTTCCTTCCTCTCCTCTGCCTTTTCCTCTTTTCCCTCTTCTTTACCTTCCTCAGTCTTTTTTTTTTCTGATTCCTCCCACCCTTTCTTTTCCTATTCTTATCTTTATATTGCTTTAGCCCTTTCCTCATACTTCCACCTCACAGGCCTCCTGTGTTCAGGTTTCCTTATGGCTACTTTTCCACTCAAACCCTGAACAGCCAGGCCAAGGTATGACTTATGATGGTGGTTCCTTTCCCTTTAGGCATGAAGACTGGAGCCAGGCCTGGAGGGACACCAGGGGCTTCTGCTGGTCAGCCAAGTACAGATGGAGAGAGTGTTCTCTCCAAGATCCTTCCTGGTGGAGCAGCAGAGCAAGCTGGCAAGCTTACAGAAGGTATGCACTGCCTGTGGACAGGGCCTTGGTGTGTAGCCACTCCAGGGCCTTGCTCTTGAGGAGTCGAGGTCTGTGAGATGTTCCAGGTTCAGTCATCTAGGCACAGCGCTCACCTACTGCTGCCTAGCGGTTCTCTGGGCTAGTCCTGCCCACCACCCTTCCCCCACCCCGCTAAGCTTGGCTTCATTGTGCCAAATGACCCCAACTAGGAGGGGTCTGGCCCAATTCCTGATATTTCTCTTCTTTCCGTGTCAACAGCTGTCTCTGCTTTTGGCAAAAAATTTTCCTCATTCTGGTGACCATGCCCAGCAGGGTGAGTATACCTGGCCTCTCCCGGGAAAGGGAGGAGGGGATGTAAGTTCCATGGTGTCCCAAGAACCTAGTCTTCAGTAGGTAGTGTGGCCAGAGATACAATGTGCTTTCGTGGGAGTGTGAGAGGAGAAAGAGGTGGGACACTGTTTACAAAGCCCCCAATGTAAGGCCAACTTGGTAGAGTTCTCAACAAAGGGAAGCTAAGGCTAATGACCCCTTATCTTTTTTGACATCCCTTACCTATCTACAGTGCTGTCCCAGCTATGAGCTGGCATTGCATTGTAGGTAGGGCCTGCTGATAGAGCTCCTCCCAACCCTCCTCTGTAAATTCTCCACAGGCTCTTGAAGACATGAAGCAAGATGATAACATTGCTGTGGAAAAATCTCTGGAGTCAAAGGCCTGGGCGCAGCTCTGAACTCTGCGTATAACAGTGAGTGTCAGGACCAAGGTGGGATGACCAGATGAAGGGATGAAGGTCCAAGGCCTTCATCAAAGGGGAGAGAAGCCAGAGTGCTGGCTGAGATGGTGGCAGATTAGTCAGGTAATACTGGGAAGGGGCGGGGCCCTACAACACAGTATGCTGGGCACTGAGTCCAAAGTCATCCTGGAGGACAGGGCAGTGTGGTTCCTGTAGGGGACATATCTCTTCCCTGATGCCTGATGCTGGTAACTTTTCCATTAGGAGAAGCCAGAGTTCCCAAACCCTGTAGAGCTTAGCAGCTCTGGGGATGAAGTCAGGACAATGTTGGCATCACAGGCTTAGCCTAGAGTCCATAGATAAAAAAGTAGAATAAGTAGAGAGGAAAGGGACATACAGGAAACAGGGGATTAACTCAGACAGTCTTAGTCCAAGACTAGGATAGCCCAGGGAGAGAGTAGAAGGGCATTAGGATGGAAACCCTGGCTCTGTCTGGACTGCAGTGGCCAAGGCAGGCCATTCTGCCCTCCCAATGTTCCTCCTGAAGCCTGTCCTGGCCCTGGCCACAGCCCTACCTCAACAGAGGGAGGAAGACATGCATCATCCAGGATGAGGGGAGAGTAGCCTGGCTGTTTGTCCTGCTCTGTGCATAGACAGGTACCACCTCCCAACATCTCTTAAACCTGAGGCCTTTCTTCACTCCTCCTGTGCTACTCTAGAGTTAAGAATAAGGAGGCATATGCACAGCAGGGCCTGGCAGTCAGCAAGCAGGTCACTTGAAGCCCATGGGCCAGAAAGTGCCCTTGCCCAGGCCAGGCCTGCTTGCAAGAGGGAAAGAACTGGGTTTAGGGCCCAAAGGCTACCTGTCTGTAGAGGAGCAGTAGGGGGCCCTAGAAAGGATCATTCTTCCATCTATTTATTCAACAGATATTTGTCAAGCCCCAAGAATGTGCTAGGCCCTGTTTTAGGCATTGAGGATATAGCAGTAAACAAAATCAAGTCCCTACCCTCTGAAGCTGACAATCTTTTTTTTTTTCTTTGCTACTGGGAATTGAACCCAGGAGCTCTTTACCACTGAGGCACATCCCCAGTCCAGTCCTTTTTGTTATTTTGAGACAGGGTCTTGCTGAGTTACTTACTGTCTTGCTAAATTGCCAAGGCTAGCCAGAACTTGTGATGCTACTGCTTCAGGCTCCCAAGTTGCTGGGATTACAGGTGTGCACCACCATACCTGGCTGCTGGCAGATCTATTAAGGAAGACAGAATAAATAAGTTTAAAACTAAAATTTAAAAGGTGATATCTAAAGTGTTGTGAAGCAGAGTTATGGGAGCAGTGGGGTCTACTCTAGAGAAAGTTGTAAGAGCTGAAGGTATGTGAGGTAAGGCTTGGAGCTGGAGAAAAAGCCACTAGATGTTCCCAGGTGAGGAAACAGTGCCAACAGAGATTCTGGTACACTGACAGGCTTCAGAGACAGGCAAAAAACCAGTTGTGCTTGGAGAAAGGTGGTCAAGGGCAAAGTCTAAGGGGGTGAGAGTGAGTTGAGGTGGACTTTTAAAGTCAAAGTAAAGTGCTTGGAATTTATTCTAATTACAGTAGCCACAGTGAAGCCCCAGCGTCCTTCCTGACTTCACCCCCACGACAGTGGGCTTCCTGCTGCTTTATGGCTCAGGTGGATGTTTCTTGGAGTTGCTGTGGAACAGACCTGAGATCAGAAGTGGTGCTGAGGGGAGGGAAAGAAAGGGCAGCCCAAGGTTCATGAAAATACCCACCTTAAGTTGGGATCAGGGCACTATTATATTTGAAGGGAAAGGTAGCACAGATGTGGCTTTGTTCTGCATTCTGCCACACAGTGTGAGTGGGCCAGCCATTGAGACCACTGCCTTTGTAGTTAAAGGAATCTTTTTTTTTAAGTTCCAGCATTCGGCTAATGATTGGGCCAAGTGATTGAGAAGTTACTGTGTGTACATCTCCTGATGTTTATTTTATTTATTTTTAGAAATACTGGGGATTGAACCCAGTGGTACTTTATCACTGAAATACATCCCCAGCCCCTTTTATTTTTTATTTTGAGACAAGGTCTCACTGATTTGCTAAGGCAAGTCTCAAACTTGCAATCTTCCCGCCTCAGCCTCCTGACTAGCTGGGATTATTGGCATGTGCCACTGTGCCTGGCCCCTGATATCTTCTAGGTTAATTTCAGAGATGAGCTGGGAAAGGCTTGTCATTTGAAACAAAAATCCCATCTCCTTCACTCTCAAGCACAATTACAAAGAACTTTTATGATACTGAAAGAGATGTCAAACCAAGAGCAGTGGCACATACTCAGCCACTCAGGAAGCTAAGACAGGAAGATTACTTGAGGGGCTGGGGCTGTAGCTCAGCCGCAAAATGCTCACCTAGCATGTGCGAGGCCCTGGGTTTGATCCTCAGCACCACATAAAAATAAATAAATAAATAAAGATATTGTGTGCAACTACAACTAAAAAATAAATATATATTTAAAAAAAGGAAGATTACTTGAATCTAGGAGTTTGGGGCCAGTATGGGTACCACACTGAGACCCCCACCCCAAAGGGGGAAAAAAGAAAAAAAAGAATATGTCCCTACTTGGTAGACATGATTCTTCTTTATTCCTGTTTTTCTCTCTATGACCTCTAACCTATCCAAGTACCCACCTCCCACAAAAGCATGGGATCCCATGGGTGAGGAGAAGACAGGTTGTTGGCATATCTGAGAGTAACATGACTATGCAAGTAGCTGCTCATGGTTCTTGACAAACCCTTTCTTTTCTTTTTTCCTTCCTTTCCTCCTTTCTTCCTTTTCTTTTCCAAGCATCTACATCTGGCAAATCCTTGGCCCAAAGACTGATACCCAGTGGGCCATGGCAGGCAGGCCTCAGTTGAGGACGGGATGTTTCTTCACCTGGGTGAAGGATCTGCTGAACAAGTGAGACGACTGGCCCCGGGACCTTTGATTGTCTTTCCAGAGACCTTGCCTTCCTCAGGCCCAGCCGTCGTTGGGAGGGAGGAGCCCTCTCCAGAACCCTGCCACAACAGTTGTCCGCTGTTCTTCCCACAGCTGCTTCTCTGAGGCCCGACTGGCCAGGCTTCCAATGCGTTATACACAGAGTTTGGGAGCATACTGCCCTCCCTCTGAGATGCCAGAAGTTTTTCCACAGCCTTGGAGAGGGGCTTTGACTGAGGGCTGGGGGCCCTGGGCTCCATTTCCTTCACATTCCAGCTGGCCCAGATCCCTCTGAGTCCACAGGGGCCTCCCCCTTCACCCTGACCTTTGGGTGACATCAAAGCAGACCTCCATGTGGCCAGCATGGGGTTGGGAGAACTTTACACACTTTAGGACCTAACACTGTCTCATCGCTGAAATAAGAGGCCATAGACCGAAAAGCAGCGTGGGCGCTGGCTGAGGCTTCTCCCAGCCCATGGATGGCAGTGTGCTAGCATACCTGCCATCATCTTAAAGCCATCCCCCCAGCCATCATGAGCATCCCAGTGGCACCGCCATTGTGTCAACCAGCCGGCTCCTCATCAGTACACCTGGGGATTTCTTTTGATTTCAAGAACAGCCTTAATCATTCCAATTTGATTTCCGTGTATACCTCATAAACATTTTTTTTCTTTCCTTCCCTTTCTCTTTCCTTTGCTCACTCCCTGCCTCTCCCATCACCACCTTGTGACTGATGGTTTGGTTTCCTCTCTGCTCTGCCCCAGCTCAGCACAGGGAGAATGCTGACTTAGAAGCAATAGTGGGCAGCAGGCCACCAAGAGCACAACCCCAGGGCGAGGTCTAAGGAGGCCCCTCAGCCCGCCTCTGTTTACTGTGCAATTTCAGTCCTTCGTAAGCCATCACCAGTGGGTGTGCTCAGAGCAGAGGTGCCAGGGCTTCTGCCAACCGAGGGAAAGGCCCAGAGCTATGTGCAAGGGAGTGTGGCACCGTCTGTCCACCTGGTGGATTAGGCGGCATCCTTACCAAGGCCCTTCCCTTGAAGGCCTCCCTTCATCCTGGGCACAGCCACAAATCTCATCTCTAACGTTCTATGCAATGAAATATAAACCCTCAAAGACAACTGTTAATATTTAATAAATTCCATGTTATGTATAAGGAGTTAATTGCAAACATGCAATTGAGAAACCAGATAGATATGCTCATATCATCACCCCACCCAGTCCCTACTCCCACTCTGTGAGTGTGTGTGTGTGTGTGTGTGTGTGTATGAAATTCTCAGTCTGTGGCATGTTTGACCCATGGCAGAACTCACTGCTGCCAGGTGAGTCACCGCCTGTCCTGCAGTGGAGCATGCACAGCTCGCAGCCTCTTTGCACGATTCATCCATTTTAAATGCTCAACCCTCTTGCTTGGAGTTCTTTTTGCCTCTAGAACCTCTCCTTCAGGAGCACTTCCAGCTTACTTCTGTACAAGCCAGTGAGGATCTGCCAGAATTGCTGCCTAAGCATGCCAGATTGGAGGGCAGACAGTACAAGGCCCCACACACCCTAGTTTTCTCTGTCTCCAAGATAGGTAAAAAGGAAACCCTGGAGTAGGAACCTGC